TTAGGCAATGCTGGTTGATACGGCAAAGATGATGTTCTTTATCACAAGCAAGTCTGTCTCTAGCAGCTGCGTCAGGGTGCAAAGATGATCTTCAACCTGTGGCCATATTTTGCTTCGCCATATAAGAGTGGTTTTCGATGAGTCTCCATCCTCTCTTCGGATGATTCTGTCAAACCATGACAGAGCCGGTCTCTAATTTCTTCAGGGAGCACTCACAAGCCGGTCGTCTCCATGATGCTTCGTTCTTTATTCGATGGAACCATCGCACTTTCAGAACGTTTTGAAGGCAGCTCTGCTGAAGAATGTTCAAAATCATTCCATGAAGATTTTACAGTGTTGATGTTTCAAGGCTGTATGGCTGGCGTTCACTATGGTGATTTTTGTTGCTGTCCACGTGCATCGATCTTACCACACTTCAGAATGTCGATGAAGTTCACAGATGCCAGCCCTACCTCGTGTCACAGCTTCCATCTCTCACCAGTACAACGCTGAGGAACTTGAAGTTTTCGACCTCCTCGATGGCTGTTCCACTCCACTGAATCTTTGGGTCGTTAGTCGAGTCCGGTGCTTGGAAGATCTTCTTTTTAGTACAGTTGACTTCTAGGCTTTCCGTCGAGACCACGTTGCACATTTAATAGAAAGTACAAAAAATCTGACTTTGTCAGAAAAGCATAGCAGTCATTGAGAAGAAACAATATTGCCGTCGAAGCACAGAGAAATTAACTAATTATTAAAATCATTTCATCTTTTTTGTTGTCGCTTCGCACTAATCACATTTTGCTTAATTTGAAACTAATTAGGCGTAGAAGTGGTACGCGCTGGACGTCACGAACGCTGGACGTCAAATATGTCATTGCCGGCCTCGCCCTGATACATCGTTAATTCATCGCTTAGTCGCTCTTCATCAGCTGCCACCCAACAAAGCGTCAATCGACAAACAACTGAGACTGAACATCGTTGACACGCTGACTTGCAACTGAATCACCTTCATTAGGCAGGTCGTAATTTCTGACATTCAGGTTGTTTAAGCGTCTTGCTCTACCGTGTCGCTAAAGTTGAAAGAGCTTTATAAATCTGGAGTAAAGGATTTACTACTTGGCATTATGCATGGCTAGGGGCCAAAGGAAACAGTCGGACGAGCTTCCACCGATGCTTAACGGACAGTGACAAGCAATGAGCACTCTAAACGCTCTGAGACCATTAAAGTGGCGGAAAGCAGCGTATGGCACGGTTTATGTTATGCACGAAGGAAGGCACATCTTAGGGATCATTCAGAAGAACTTCATTCCACTTCTCGTGTAACCTTCCAATAAACTAACAGCTCACCATTTAAGCATAACTCTAGGGTCCACGCCAGAGAAGAAGGCAGAGCTAAAAGAAGGCCTGTTCAGACAACTGGAGCCACGGCCTGCTTAAATAGTCCCTTGGGCGACTAGAAGCAAGGGGATAGTGTCATTACGCCGCTTCAATCCGGTATCAAAAGACAAAGTGCTTTTTCTCTTAGCGGCGGTATGTTTGTAAACCCATGTTAATTTTTATGTACTGATAAAGTAGTATCAGTATTTATTGTTTTTTATTGACTTTTTGGTTTTGAATCATTTAACAGTTGCAGATCATCGTCAACTTTGGTTGTTTTTCAAACTTATGGGCAAAATCAATTTTGGAGTTTTTAAACTTATATTTAAAATTTGAAATTGATGCTGATTCAGTTAGCTACGATGAATCAAATCGAATTGCAGTCCTAAGATTGGCGTTTTCTCGTATCATCTGCCATGGCTGCACCAAAATACCATGCTCTCTTGACCTGCGGCATGTCGCACTTGAAAGAAGTTGTGCGAATTTCTTGTTTAACGGAAATGGCGTAGAGTGAGGAAGCTTCACAAAGGATTTTCAATCAGTGTGTATGAGGAACATGAACCCTATGAACCCTGCGCATGAAAACTGTTCACAAACTGCAGATTAGGTAGAGCAACACGTAAAGGCATAGAAGAGTTAGTTAGGCCTTCTGAGACGAATCACTGGGCTCACGTGCCTCAACATAGTGCAGAGTTCGCGTACTCGAGAATACCGTAGTATAAAGCCTCTGTTTCTCAAAATTGAGGTTGAAATTGAGAATCACAGCTGCGATGCCTTAGACACCTTTGCGAATGCCCCCGAAAAGAAAGCAAAGCTGCTGCTACTTGTTCGACTGGCCGAAAACCGTGAGGACGGCCAAGATAAGTTGGACAAATGCCTCGAACGGACTATTCTTCAGAATTAGTTACGATTATCATCTGCCGAAACTCAATGGCTGAAGAGGATCAGAAAACGTTGGAGGCGTTGTCTAGCGCCGCTGCCTCCGCTGTCTGCGAAACTAATTTTGCTGATCACGACATGAAATCATAAAGAACTACTGGCAGATGAACTAAGAAGTAGGAATCAGGTACAACTTCTAGTGCTTGACGACTCGTTAAGGGGTGCTATGACCGGAAGGCAGGAGGAAACTTGTTGGGAAACGGAAACTGGATGAACTATTCAAATTTTCTCTCACCATGTTCTTCGCGATAAACAGCAACATTCGTATATACGAATCAGCTCACGGTGCATCCCAAGAAACTAGTTTGTTGGTCATAATCGATCGTTAAACGCAACGATGCATAGCTTTGATTACGATAATATGTTTTTCATCCCTCACGATATTCAAATTTACCATTCAGTCACCTCGAATCTAACAGATTTTACATATGGGGAAAATTTGGCCTCTTCATGCACTACTGTTTGATGCCTACGTGAAGAGAAGACTTGTCTTTTGACACAACACTACGGAAGGCGGTGATAATTCGGATCATGAGCGAAAGCAACGGAGGCTCAAACGCCGTTTTCTGGGAATGCTGTTTTTACAGTGCCAAACAGCAACTTCAGTTCAGCTCTTTGTCAAGGGAAGGGCCAAGTTTCAAAACCAATTACAAACATAAATCCCAAGGGCA